GGAGTCACAGTTGCGAGCACGTAGACTCAGAAGGAAGTCATACTTCGATACTGAATTTCCCAGACTGTATATATATTATTATTGCTACTAACCGCATTTCTGGATCTACTAACCGTATTACCAATTGTATTATTACGTCAATACATTTATTTGCTATATTCCTGCGTTTGTCATTCATTTGAGACCGGATTTCATCCCGGAATCCACAACAAGAAGCATTTAAGAAATGCTGAATATTTTACCTTTCAGATTTGATTCTATGTCCAATTTCTCTCTTTGTATCAATCAATCAATCAATCAATCAATCAATCAATCACTCACTATCTATGTCATTTTCTACCTTTTACTCAGAAAATACAGTCTCCACAAAGAGCTTTCTCCGAACCCTCCACAAACCTAATCATGACAAACTTATGTGCCATGCGTGATACACGCTTAGGCGATCATGTGACTTTCGATACATGACTGACGAGGCAGATTTTTCACGCAGTAGGTTGCCATTTCTTTTTGCGGTAGACCAGGCTATAGAACCAGGTGTGTCCTGCTATTTACCCATTGCTGCGGGGAGATGAAGAAAATTTATACCTTTCCCAAGGGTATTAACATGTAAGTGAATGTAATCGATTCGACTGGAATTCGAACTGGGCTCTCCGATTCCTCAATCTGATGGAGACATGCTAGTGACAAATCTCGATCCATAGACAAGATGTCTATCTTTTCTAAGCACCTAAATCATCATCATCATCATCATCCTCTTCCTTATCATCATCACTCATGTTTGGAGGTGGTCGTTTGGTTGCTCTACGCCTGAAAAACTAAACAGCTTCCTCCATAAGTCTATGTTGCATGTCAATGTCCGAGTCTATGTGAATGATCTTCCTGTACACTCAGCAATTTTATCAGCCCACTAGCAGCATGGCCCGGCGTTGCCCGTGCTTGATTGAAAAATAGTACGACTAATACAGCAATCGCTATCACTTGACTTAAAATATTTTTGCCCTTCCTTGCCTTTAGAGGAGTGCCCTTTGCCGTGCTGATGTTGTTACATGTCTTACTTCTTGCCTATCTCACACTGCGAATTTTTTAAGCTCTATAAGGAGAACTAAACAAAATAGACACAATACGATCAGCTTTAAAAAACCGGAAAAAAACATTTTTAAGGGTTGACCGATTGTCAGTTTGCACTTTGTTTTGGGGGGTGCTCAGAGTTGAAACTTCACATGATGACTCCCAATGGCCTCTTCATAAATCCGCTCGGATTTCGCTAAAAACCGACATGCGGTTAAGACGCAATCTGAGCGTATCGGTTTTTGGGTTTTATCGATTTTCCGCGCTGTTTAGGGGTCCGTGGTCATGAAACTTCTGGACAACACTTCTAATGGTAGACTCTAAGAGGGTGTCATATTTGGTTGAAATGCGATCATTCCTTCTGTAAGCAGAATTTTTTTGATTATCGATTTTTTCGGAACCTGATTCTGAACTCAAAAATCGGACTCCGTCATGTCCTTACGGCAGCCATTTGCAAACTTGTGCTGAAAACCGCATCGAAATCGGGTGAGAAATGCGGCCTGGGCGAGGTAACAAGGCCCACGACAGACACACAGACAGACAACATGAGAAATATAAAAAGTAGATTTTTCCTTTGTCATTTAAATTTCCTCTTCAAGACGGTGGTTATGAGGTCTAACAACGGATAACATGCTTCTCTGATGGTATTGTAGTGAAGTGCGATCAAGGGGCGGTTATGGTCGACATTTGTAATTCGGTCATGGCGCATGTGCGAGACGAATACTTTAAAAAATATGTTGGTGATTTGCATGCGCGATCAGGTAACTGATATAAACGAAGAACACGTTTTTTCAGTAAGCAATATTTTGTATCGGGCGGTTTGAACGGCACAATGGTTTGATAGCGGAAAGACATCTGCTGGAATTTCTTGATATTGAACCTACTATTCTTGATTACAACATTTTCTTTCTGCGTCCCGTTGGATTTTACAGCGTTTCTAATTAACAAAGAATTTGTCTTGCATCGGACTTGGATTTTACAGCGTTTCTAATTATCAAAGAATTTGTCTTGCATCGAACTTGGATTTTACAGCGTTTCTAATTATCAAAGAATTTGTCTTACTTCGAACTTGGATTTTAAAGCGTTTCTAATTATCAAAGAATTTGTCTTGCTTCGAACTTGGATTTTAAAGCGTTTCTAATTATCAAAGAATTTGTCTTGCATCGAACTTGAATTGTTTTTGTACTTTGACTATTAAAACAGTTTGTCTTGCAGTATCTGTCTATATTTCTGAGATGAGGTATTATGTATACTATTTACATTATTCAGACTATTGTCCTCGTCTTTGTCGCCATATTTATACGGAACTCACACTCACTCAAGGAGACATGGCACAGTGGATAAAAGCGTTGGTTAGATCCAGTGGCAGGACCTAAAGTGTGCGAGATTAAGGGTGTAATTGTTTAAGGCAGTGAAGAACTTTGAGAGGGGAATTAACAGGAGATAAGTGACAACTGACATCTATTAAACATGGCACGTGGAACTAGAACAGTCTACGCCAGTGAGCGAAATAAAAGGTTCAGTTCGACATTCCAACCACCTGAAGAAGGTCGGAGCGTACAACGACCGAAACGTTGTAATAACTATGGCGACAATGATGAGGACAATAGTTCGAATAATGTAAATAGTTTGTCTTGCTTCGAACTCGAAATACTACTTCAAATCAACTACAGGTATCTCAAACTGTGATGCAGTGAACGTAAGAGATACTGAAGAGGCTTCTTAGCATCAATCTTTAAGTGTTGGCATTCTTTACTTTAATTCTGCTGTAAATGTCCAAGTTCGTCGGCTGTACAAAAAGATTTAGTAGGTCAATGCACGCAACTGTCTCATCTTGATTCCAGGCAGATATTCCTGTCTTTCCAGAGGATATTTAGCTACACTTGAAATTATTTCTTTTCTGGCGCGTCCTTTGCTAATAACTGAACAAATATATTTGGATTATCTCAATCTTTAAGATTCTGGCGACCTGCATTTAAAAGCCCTTTCTTATTGTTCACCATGAATTTGATTTTTCGGGATTAATCTCCATTCCATATCGGAAGTATGCTTCATCCATGTGTTTCTATAAACTGTCGAGTTCTTTCCCTGTGCCAGATCGATCAACTATATCACTTGTAAAGCCAATGTTTCTGATGTGACTTCCAATTTTAACTGTTCTCTGGTGTTACTCAAGGGCTTAAATTATGCATATTCGATTCATGTTATTCACAACATCTTTCTGTAGAACCACATTTCCGTTGCTTCACGTATCTTCTTCATCTTTGAGAAATTTGTTCAGGATTCACTTTCATACATAAGGAATGATATTACTTACGAGTTCAGTACTGTTTGTTTTTTTCTAACGAATTTTTTCTCTTTCTTAATACTTTGCTTAGCTTTTGGAAGGCATCTTTCGCTGTCTCAATGCGCCTTCGGATTTCGGTATCATGTTTTCCATCCTCTGCTAGAACACTTCCATGATTAAATCTTTGTAGTTGTTTGATTTTGATATCTCCAAATTGTCATTTGTATGTTGGTTTGTTCTTTTGGCTGACAACTTTGAAATCTCTGTTCTTGCAATTGATCTAAGAGTTCCTGTAGTTTCCTTTCTACATCTGCAATCAACACTTCATGTCTTATATTAAGATTGTAATCTTAACAACGATAATGGTTCCGCTTAGAACTTCTAATTCTCTCGGAAATGCTTCACTGTATAGGTTGAATAAGTCTGGTTAGAAGTGTCATCCTTGTCTTACACCTCTTTATATTTTCTGAGTTCATTTTCTATCCATATGCAGGAAGTTTTCTGCTAATAAAGTTTCTGGATTATTCTAATACCGTTATCAAATATGTCTGGCTACCTAGTATTCCCTACAGTTCTTTGTGACGTTCTTTGTTAAAAAATTTTGGATAATCTATAAAACATAGGTTTTCATCGTTTTTTATTTGTATTTCTGATCTCATTTCGAGCATGAAAATTGAATACTTTTGTTCCAGTGTCTTTAACAAACACGCAGATTTTTGTTTTATTTCCGAATCCCATAAAATAATAAATCACATAATCACATAATAACATAAAATAATAAACAAACCATACTGTTAGCCGTCAGAAACAATCAGTTTTCCATGCCATCATTCCTGTTTAAGGTGTGGTTGTATGCAGTCGATGTCATTCGGCCAAGTAATGTTATGTTTAATATGATCATTATGAATACTTTGAAACAAGTCGTGGCTTCACTATTTGAAAAGAAAAAAACTTATTGCCAGAAACCTGTGAAGTGATACTTTACTAATTTCACGAATAGCTAATTTTTTTTTGAAATGGTCAAATCTATATTATATAAAAGCTAAAGTAAGACTTTTATTTTTTTCTAAATCGCTATAGAATTTGATATCAAGTTTTTTCGGATGTCTTATGTGAGAATATATATTTTTTTTACTTTAAGATGTTGAGTATCATGAATCCGAAACTGATGATATTTAAAAAAAATAAAAATATAGCCTAACTTCTTTTAGTTTACTTCGATGAATTCTTTCGTAAATATTTTAAGATATCAATAATTTCAACTTTGTAGTTGAGAGATTTTATTTATAGTATGCGAGAAAAATACTTCTAGGCAATATAAAATATATTTTAGGAACGTGTGTCTTATTTGGTTGATTGGGTGATATTTTAACGGCATATCAACCTGTATGTGTTATTTAATGCAAAAATCTACATATTTTAAACAATTTTACGGTTTCAACTAATTATATTTTGAAGACAATTGCATGCCTTGAAATCCAGATAAAATGTATTGTTGCTAATTTTACTATAAACATGTAGTATTTTTTATATATAAAAAGGGAATGCTATACGCGTGACTCTCCCGAACAGATTTGATGGTATAATAAATTTACGAGCTATTCAACATTACATTTTTTACACATTTTAATGTATATGCGGAGGGATGTATCTATCTGCCTGTTTATATATATATATCAGTCTTTTTATATCTATCTATCTATCTATCTATCTATCTATCTATGTAAGAAAAATAGCATTTCACTTTTCCCTGTATTGTCATAAAATTTGAATTTCAGATTTGGAAATCATTGAAAATGTCCGAAAATATCTTCCCCGAAACTTCAGTTGTTACCCTTTCGAGTCTTGACAGCATTGCTTGTAAGGAAGCCTATAATCTCGTGCAAAATTTCTACCATGAGAAGCATCCTTCATATGCAACGATCAAAACTTAGTGTTGAATGCCGACTGCTGACGATATCCCTTTAAAATGTAAACACGCTCAGGTTGCAGTGTGAACACAACCTTTGTTAAAATTTAGAAAAATAAAAGTATTATTTCTTGATGCCATGTCATTAAGAAATATATTCTGAAAATTATATACGGGCGCACTTCTAGGACTCTCGATGGCCAGTGATTGGCGACTGATCTCTCCTCCGATCTTGTAAAAACCACCCAATGGTGTAATAACTGGCTGGTTACATTTAATGCCCCGAAGACCAATCTAGTTACGTTCTCACATCACTGATTTGGCCCAAAACTAACACCACTCAAAATGAACGGTGAAAGCACCGTGCCTTGAAAGACTGTTGGGCCTTAAGCTCCCACCGATGTCAAGTGGAAATCGTACATACGATCCGTTGGTAAGGGTGCAGGTAAAATATCGGCTTCCTGTACCGCTCCGGTAAGTATCTGACTCCTCCTGGTATCTTCTGCTTTTACAAGAGCCATATCAGACCAAAAATGGAGTAGTGTTTTCATATCTAGGCGGGAACCGCAAACAGCTTACTATCCAGCCTTGATTAGAGTTCAAAAGCGTCTCCCAGCCCTTGTGGCTGACGAATTATTCTGCACCCTTCCACCCACCCCGACTCTCTCTGTTCTACCGCTACTTCCATGGAAAGTGCTCGAACGAACAACATTTCCTAATCCCCATCAAGGCAAACCTTCACAACAAGAACACGCCATTCCATTTACATAGTAGCAAACCACCTACAATTCCTCCATATTTCCTCGGTGAGAAGTAAGTTCCACTCGAGCAGCTTCTTGCCGCGAACCACTGCCGTGTGGAACCGACTCCCAACAGGATGTTTCTCCGAGCACTAAAATCTTAATCTATTCAAGGCTAAGGTTAATCATTATCTCCCTCTCTTATACACACAAATGGCCACTTAACGTAACGCTCTACCTTGAATGGTCCCTGAGCCTTGTAAAGGGTGACTATCACGGTAAAAAAAAAAAAAGAAACCAAGGCTAGGATCCTAGTCTATCTTGCGATATAACCCAGAATTCAAGATAGATGGGTTCATGCCTTTCTCAAGGCTATCAGTGCGATATCGAACATTGCAGACTAGTCTGGAATTTGAGAACGTATCGCCGATTATTCTTTTCGTTTTGATGGCCGTTACCTTAACCGCAGATCATCCTTTCATTTAATTCCGTATATACTCGTGTATGCGTCGAATTCTGTGAAGTAGTATTTAAGGCTTAAACTTTATTTAAATTGGTATCCTGACGAAATGAAAAACGCGAGAAGAAAGAGTTTTAGATATGAAAACATTCAAAGTGACAAATTCTCTTTGACAAGTTTATTTCATCTCATCTGCTTTGAAGAAAATGTTTGAATGAAAAACTGAAGCGTCGCGTATTGCAATATAAAATGCTTTAAAATTGTTTCTCCTTTCTTTTTCCCAGTTTCAAATCGTAGGGAGGAACTTTGTATGCATATCAAGAAACATATTTTATATGCAATCAATTATAAATGTTTATTTGAGTAATTTTTAAATAAATAAGTGTGAAATACAGAGTTTATGGTTTATACAGTGTTGTGCAGTATCGCTAGATCAGTTACGACTGAGTACTGAGTTCGATCCTCACCGGGTGCTTATACTTTCGGCCTTGTGCCACATCTAAGCTACGCTTAGAAAACATTTTTGGTCACTTCGACATGGGGTAATGGTTAGCAAGCATGACTCACTAGGTAAATTACAACTTAATAATGAATTCGATCCTCATTGGGTGCACCATAATTTCGGCCTTGTGCCACACGCTTAGAAAATCATTCCGGTCATCACGACGTGGTGTAATGGTTAGAAAGTTTGTCTTGCAAGATCATTTACAACTGAGTGCCTTCATATTTTCGGCCTTGTGCCACATCTAAGCTGAGCTTATAAAATCGCTATATAGAGTCTTGTACTAAATAAGTGATATATTGAGTCGAAATCAAGAATTGACCTACACACACGATCGACTTACGCAAAAATATGCACGTTAAATGCAATGAGAGAAAAAAAAATGAGAGAATGAATCGGAAAACAGATTAAATAACTGGAGGATTAAATGTTGGAAGAAGAAACGTTTATGTAGAAGTGTGGATTATCCCAAGAAGAATTCTTCGTGATGAAAGCATCTCAGAATACACATTTCCAAGAAATGTGAAGAAACTGATGCAAAAAAAAAAGCCTTACATTTCGTCTTACTGGCGTATTTTCTTTCTGAGCATTACGGCTCGATTTTCGCTCCAAATGATAAAAACCAAATGCACCTCCCATGCAAGCCAAATGCACACGGTGCTTTAATACGTCAATCCGAGGTCAAATTGAGTTCATCATCTCATCTTCTCTTGACAAATAACACACATTTTCCCTTCCTGAGAATAACCAGAGAATAAGTAGATTCAGCAGAGACTTCAATCAACCATCTTGTTCCTTGTTACAAAACCAGTGAAACTACATTTAAAAATCTACATATACCTGTAGAAACTATTATTATATTAAATGTACAGCCCGCATTAAATAAAATATCATTCATCACAGGAGATGCCATATTGTAGTGCACGTTATATAATTAATGTGAGTACATATTATATTAGTATTAAAAAAATAAAAATTAAAAATTACTTAATAAATAAAATAAAATAATCGCATTCAATATGTGAGGTTTCGTTCCCAATAGCTGTTACACATGACATCACGCTAGGCAAGCTTTCCAAGAAATATCAGGAAGCAGATAAAGGACTTATAGCTCATTGAGTGTTGATCGATGTATAATAACAGAGTTAGTTTTCAATCAGTATATGACGATTGCATCCTGGATGAATCTCACAGTTGTGCTATGGATGAGGTAAAAATTAGTGTGTTTCTGTGTGTCTGTCTATCTATCTATCTATCTATCTATCTATCTATCTATATCTATATATATATATATGTGTGTGTGTGTGTGTGTGTGTGTGTGTGTGTGTGTGTGTGTACAGTGTTGTTCTCTTCTCCGATGAAACGAAAGTTGAGCTAAATTCAAAGGATAAGCGATCTAAAATCCAAAGAAGAAGCTTTGAAAGCTCTTTGAATTTAGCAGTAAGTACTGTCAAAAATCCGTTCAGTATAATGATCTGGGGATGCTTTTCTTTTCATGGAACTGGTTTCTTAAAACCTATTGAAAAGGCCCTCAGGAGCGAGCAGTACAAGAGAATTTTAGAGTCTTGTCTGCTCCCTTCTGTCGAAAGGGTGCAAATCGACCCCACCTAGCTCAATTTTTTTATGCAGGATAATGCTCCCTGTCACAAATCAAAATACTTTGATGAGAAGCAGGCGAGTGTTATGATATGGCTGCCCCAATCTCCTGACCTCAACCCCATAGAAAACTTATGGAGCATTATAAAGTACAGGCTCTCGAAAAAGCAGTTGAGCAACACAGATGATTTGATTGGGAATTTCATATCCGAATGGAATTCAATGCTTGGAGATGAAGTCAATGCTAAAAAGGGTAGAAAAGGTTATTCAAAATAAAGGTGGACCCATATATTATTGAATATTTCGAAGTATATTACCTATTATAATTAAATTACACCTCTATTATTCTTTATTTAAAACTGTTCGGTTATGTTTCTATTGATTACTAGTTGCAGGAAATAAGTGAGTCATTTTCCCTTAATCACATTTATATACAAAATTATAATTATCAATAAAATACCTTAGGGTGAGTAAACTTTTTTACTAGGTGGTCGGGAAGGGTCTTTATATTAGTAAGATTAGAAAAATCAAAAAAATCAGGAGAGTAATTTTATCGAACAGCACTATATATATATATATATATATATATATATATATATATATATATATATATATATATATATATATATTTATATTGAGACTGCACGCTCCATAAGTTTTTATCTGTTAAAATAACACATTTCTAACAAAAACATATTTCGATTCGCATTTATTTTTCGTGTCCGCTATTACCTTGATCTACTAAAAAAAAAAAAATAATTTCCATGCCTGAGGATGGCTGAATGTACAGCCGAAAGTACTAGCAGAATAACAAAAAGAACTTATACAACTTGAAGTTATTAAAAACAAGGACCATATCATTCATCGAGTGGTTAGTAAGTTAAGGCAACATTAATAAATTTGTTTGCGAAGATGTTTTTCGCATTTATATCATTAACTTTACTAATCTACTTTTTTATGAATGAATCATGTAATGTAAATTGAACTGCACTACATATTTGATTTAAAAAGAACTGATCCGACGTGCAAATTTTCGGGATAACAGCTTCGACATTACTCTATTTATTGAACAATTTAGTTCATGACACATTGACTGAAAAAAAAAACTCCTACGACCAAAAAATTCTCAAATTACCATATTAGTAAAAAAACGCACTCTCTTAAATTTTCAATATATATATATATATATATATATATATATATATATATATATAATATATATATTTTTATATTTTATATTTTCATTTCGCGCATGCGCGTTGATGTTTTTTGATTTTTTCGACTTCACAGCATAATATGTCCAGTTGGGAAACGTCTGTGAGTAAAAGATCAACATGTCACAATTCACTCCGCCAGAAATTTGGAAACAGTATGCTGTACTGCTTGGTATTCACGTCGGAATCTTCAATATGAAATTTTCAGAGTGTTTAGGTGTCAATGTGTGGACAGTGCAGAGGATTCGGAAAAGAGCTGAATGGTTCTAATTGTGATTGGGAAGGTATGCTAGCTCGGAAAATTCGCTCAGATTGTTCTGATAAGGAAAGAACTACCGAAATTTTTGGTGATGGCATCAGACTCAACATGGAGGCTTATATCGTGTGTTTTGAGGAGGTAATGCTGCCTTGGGTCTAGACGGTAACGCCTGGAAAAACCTATGTCTACCAAAAGGAATCTGCACCATGTCACACAAGCAGGAGAATCCAGTTATGGCTGTCAGACAATTTCTTCGACCGCATCACACCTTATATTTGGCCAACTAACTCCCCAGACTGCAACCCACTTGATTATTAAGTGTGGGTCAAAGTTGATCGAGAGACCAACAAAACCCCTGGTAACACCAAAGATGAACAGAAGGCAAGAATTATGGCAGCATTCACCAACTTAAAGAAGAAGACCGTTGTAAAAGATTCCGAAATTGACTGGTAGTCGTTGTTGAATCCAATAGCGATTTTATTGAATAAATTTACTCGTCATTATTTCAAGATATTTTTGTGTAATTTTGGTAAATATATCTGTTAAAATGAGACGTTGGTATTATTTTTAATTTTTGCGTAATGCAGACGAAAATATATGCATCGCACCCCGTAAATAAATATATATATATATATATATATATATATATATATATATATAGAGAGAGAGAGAGAGAGAGAGAGAGAGAGAGAGAGAGCGATATATATATATATATATATATATATGTGTGTGTGTGTGTGTATGTATGTGTGAATGTGTGTGAGTGTATATTTTTCTGAAATAGATAGATAGATAGACAGATAGATAGATCGATAGATAGATAGATAGCTCTTTACGACGACATCGCATTTAAACATTGCTTCCCGTACGATCAGAGAAGTTAAGTAACGTTGAGCATGGTCATTACCTAGATGTCACCCCCACTTTGAATATCAGGTGCTGTAAACTCGGATCTGTGAGTTGTCTAATCGATAATAACTGAGAATCATTAATCAGAAAACCGAGTTCCAATGCCCTATGTGTTCGTTATATTCCCTTGTGCGCAAAAGGAATGTATCCACCAATTCTTTTCCCAGCAATGACTTAATTAGTAAGACTTGTATCACTAAACCATTATTATCAAAAATAAAAAAAAAGAAATTCTTAGTGTTTAAAATAATTTCTGGTTTTAAATAACCTACAATGTGTTGATAAGCTGTAAAAATAAATCAAGCAAGAAATCAGTTGATAGATATTCAACTACATTTAGTCTGAAATAAGATCACAAAAGAGTAAAAAGTTAATACTCACGCTTTAGTACGTATATTTATATACAGCACTAACTCCAAAAGTTATTCGTTTGGTTGATTGATTTTCTTTAGCGACATATCAACTCTTTTATGGGTTATTTAATGGCAGTATCTAAATATTTTGAGCCAAATTACAAGCGTTCAACTACAGATAAGGGCTTGGTTTGGTCTGGTTTATTTTGTTTTGCGGCATATCAACCTCAATGGGTTATTTAATGCCGACAACATTTTTAGGATAGATTTGTATGAATAGAATATGTATTCTTTGGTTTAGATTGGTTTGGTTTATTTTGTTTTACGGCATATCAACCTCAATGGATTATTTAATGACGAAAACATTTTTAGGATAGATTCGTATGAACAGAGTATGTATTCTTTGGTTTAGATTGGTTTGGTTTATTTTGTTTTACGGCATATCAAACTCAATTGGTTATTTAATGCTGACAAAAATTTTTATTGCTAGTAATATTTTGTTTTGTCAAAAATCTGTTTCTGGTAAGATATTTCCTTCAAAATTGTATTGCTGGTAATAGTTAACTATTTTCCCATAGCTGTGACCCTAACATGTGCTACTACCCCGGGTCAGGGTGGACCTGGGAACACCAGCAATTAAGAGGTGGTTTCACGATCTTCAAAACCTCCTGATCAGAGGCCTTGCTGCTGGACGTAGTTTATCGTCTTACCCAGTATGATCAACTACAGATAAAATGTATTGTTCGTCATTTTGATATAATATGTATTGTTGGTATTTTTTCTATAAAATGTCTTGATGGTAATGTTACTGTATCTACACTAATATATATTGGTGGTTATTTTGATTTAAAAATATTTTGTTTTTAATTTTAATATAAATATGTATTGTTTAGGTATAAAAATGTATTCTTGGTGTTTTTACTATGAAGATGTATTTTTATATTTTCATAGTGTTCGTTTTTGTCTGAGAGTTCACTATTTACCCATATCTGGGACTCTAACAGGTGTTACCACCTCTGCTCAGAGCGGACCTGGGAACAACTACAATTAAGAAATGGTTCCACGCTCCTCAAAACCTCCTGATCAGAGGCCTTGCTGCCGGATGTAGTTTATCGTCATACCCAGGACTCTACTCGAAAAGTAATGCATCGTTTGTCATTTATTATAGGTCAGTTGGCAGTATATCAGAACCTACCCGACAATAATCCATACTTATTTTGGCTTGTTAAAAATTTCACTCTGGCAAAATAACGTCTGACATAAAACTGTGTATGAAGTAGGTGTGCGTTCCAGAATTCCGCTCGCCGGAATTAATTATAGCCGGTACATTGATGTTTAAGGAGACCAAACAGTAAATATGATCACAGTAAAGCGGTAGGTGATGCATTTTATTAAAAGAAAATGCTTTTTGTAGGTAGTATTCAAGCGAAAATCTTTAGTTAATTTGGATGACCATATGGTGAAAATTGTGTTTTGTAGCAAGGGAACCTTTCTGTTCATTATTAATACTAGGTTTAATGCAAGGCCAAACAATCCTTCTTTGAACATTTTGAACTGGCGCTGTATGATCACAAATAACTTAAGAACTACCAACAGGAGTAAAAATTAAAATCTATAGCAAATTAAATAATGACTTAACCATGATATTGGCGTTCCACACTAATTCAAATGAAAGGTTAGAAATGGAAGTTGGGATAAATGTTACTGGACTTGGAAAACCTAATTTTCTGAAAAATTCTTTTAAAAGAAATATTTTATAAATTCCAACCGAAAGTAGTACTCTCTGGTCAGTCAATGAATGCTAAATGTTTCCTTCTAGGGAAAAGGCTAATATTGTCATTACCATTATCATTGTAGTTACCGTGGTAATACATTAGCGGAATACTTTCTGGAATGTATTTATATATGAAGATATACAAGCAGAAAGGAAGAATCACATAGAATAGGTGTTTAAGAGATGATT